TTTCTCTACGTGGAAAGAAAGATCATCAGGGGCTTTACTTAAATTGTAAATTTCAGGACCCCCGAGCTATCCGTTCTCCCTTGGGGAGGGGGTAAAGTTTACTATAGTTTATATAGGGAAATAACACTTTTGGGTATATTTTGACAACTTTCTGTAGGAAATTATTTTTACTTGGTGAGAATTATCCTTGGAGGTAGATGGTTTCAAATTGTAAAATTGAGATTCCTACCCCGACCCCTGGGGCCAGGGCGGGGCCCCAAAGGGAAAATTAATCAATATTTCAAAAATCTTCTTCTCCAGACTCAGAGGTACTACAGTGATTTTCTCTACGTGGAAAGAAAGATCATCAGGGGCTTTACTTAAATTGTAAATTTCAGGACCCCCGAGCTATCCGTTCTCCCTTGGGGAGGGGGTAAAGTTTACTATAGTTTATATAGGGAAATAACACTTTTGGGTATATTTTGACAACTTTCTGTAGGAAATTATTTTTACTTGGTGAGAATTATCCTTGGAGGTAGATGGTTTCAAATTGTAAAATTGAGATTCCTACCCCGACCCCTGGGGCCAGGGCGGGGCCCCAAAGGGAAAATTAATCAATATTTCAAAAATCTTCTTCTCCAGACTCAGAGGTACTACAGTGATTTTCTCTACGTGGAAAGAAAGATCATCAGGGGCTTTACTTAAATTGTAAATTTCAGGACCCCCGAGCTATCCGTTCTCCCTTGGGGAGGGGGTAAAGTTTACTATAGTTTATATAGGGAAATAACACTTTTGGGTATATTTTGACAACTTTCTGTAGGAAATTATTTTTACTTGGTGAGAATTATCCTTGGAGGTAGATGGTTTCAAATTGTAAAATTGAGATTCCTACCCCGACCCCTGGGGCCAGGGCGGGGCCCCAAAGGGAAAATTAATCAATATTTCAAAAATCTTCTTCTCCAGACTCAGAGGTACTACAGTGATTTTCTTTACGTGGAAAGAAAGATCATCAGGGGCTTTATTTAAATTGAAAATATCAGGACCCCGAGCTATCCGTTCTCCCTTGGGGAGGGGTTAACGTTTAATATAGTTTATATAGGGAAATAACACTTTTCGGTATATATTTTATCCATTTTCAGCAGAAAATTGCTCAAACTTAGTCAGAATCATCTTGGGTAAATGAGAGTTTTACTTTGTAAAATTAGGATTCCTGCCCCATCCCCAGGGGCTAGGGCGGGGCCCCAAAGGGAACATTTACCAATATTTTCAAATTCTTATCCATTGATGACATGACAAGTATTGTATTTCACTTAGTTTACATGCTGATTTCCACATCACATCTAAACAATAAAATAAAGCTACCAGTATCTATGATATAACTCAGGTGACCGCTAAGGCCCTTGGGCCTCTTGTTCTTAAATCTCTCGGCCGACTTTCAAAGCCATACTGGCTCTTGTAAAAACCTGAACCCATAAAGCTGTCCTAGGTTGTGATTTTAATTGTGGAACTCTTTATGCATGACCACGCTTTGTGACCAATTTTCCGGTTTGCACTGTCGACTGTTTGGGTGTACAAATAAATCATTAAACAGACTCGCAGTAAGTACAGATTACTGTTGATCAACATTGATGCAGTTTGTTTTTTATTATGAATAACATGATTTTGACAGTCCATAAACTTTACAGTCCTAAGCTTTATCGTAAATTATTTTTCGAGACCTATGATCTCGATTCCAATCAAGTTAAATAATTTGACAAATTATGATCTCAATATGCTTTCACTATCGGTAGCTAGTACATCTTTCCCTATATGAAATATGTATTGGTCATCTTACATCATCATCATCATCATCATCATCCTGACATAATGCTTAACATCATCATCCTCATCATTATCATCATATAAGATATTATTCTTAACATATTGTCATCTGACATGAAATGACATCATCAACATTATCATATTCATCATCATCTGATATGATTCCTAACATTAATATCTGACATCATCATCATTATCATCATCATGATCATATATAATTGTCTTACATCATCCTCATCATCATCAGCCATCATTATCATATGTCATCATTTTCATCTCATATCATAAGCAGAATTATTAATCAAACACACAAGAGCAAAACCAAATAAACTGAAACGGAAAAAAAAGCCACAAAACATTACAGGGGATGGGGGAGCAATCCTAGGTCATTTTATTTTTAGCTCACCTGGTCCGAAGGACCAAAATGAGCTTATGTGATACCATGGCGTCCGTCGTGCGCCCGTCGTCTGTACGTCAACAATTTCTTTGAACGACTTCTTCTTCTGAACCACTGATTGGAATTTGACTTAATTTGACTGGAAGCATCCCTAGGTGGTGGGGATTCAAAATTGTTCAAATGGTTGGGGTGACCCCCAATAGGGCTGAGGGGTGGGGCCAAAAAAGGGCAATTTGGCTATATTGTTTTAAGCAACTTCTTTGGAACTAAGAGATGGATATCAGCCATATTTGACTGGAAGCATCCCTAAATAGTGGGGATTCGAAATTGTACAAATGGTGGGGGTGTCCCCCAGGGGGCTGAGGAGCGGGGCCAAAAGGGGGCAATTTGGCTATATTGTTTTAAGCGACTTCTTCTCTGGAACTAAGAGATGGATATCAACCATATTTGACTGCACAGTTGCTTCCAGGATGGCCCTAGGGTCTGGCCCCACCCTTGGAGACATAGTCCCTTGGTCATAACTTGGAAACAGTTGAGATCCCCTCCCCAAAACTATATATACAAATGCTGGGCATAAAGAGACGAATGCAGTCATGATATTAGAATAGACCCTGGGGTATGACCGAACCCCTAGGGACCTAGTTTCTTAGTCACGTACAGCTTGGAAACAGTTGAGATCCCCGCCTAAAAACCATATATACAATCGCTGAGTATAAGGAAATGAATGCACATATGCTTCCAGGATGGCCTTGGGGTCTGCCCCAGCCTTGGAGACTTAACCCCTGGGTCATAACTTCAAAATGGTTAAGATCCCCATCCCAAAACTATATATACAAATGTTGGGCATAAAGAGACTAATGCAGTCATGCTATTAGAATTGATCCCAGGGTCTGCCCAACCTTTGCAGACTTAGCCCCTGGGTCATAACTTTGAAACGGTTGAGATTCCCACCCCAAAACTATGAATACAAATGCTGGGCAAAAAGAGATGAATGCAGTCATGATATTAGAATTGATCCTGGGGTCTGGCCACAACCTATGAACCTAGTTTCTGAGTCACAGCTTGGAAACAGTTGAGATTCCCACCCCATAACCATACATAAAATTGCTGGGCATGAACAATTTAATATAGATATGCTACAAGGATTATAATGGCCTTGGGGTCTGGCATATTCCCTTGGATCTCATTTGGAGAATATTTTGCCATGATTGCTTAGATATCAAGGTGAGTGATGCAGGCCCTCTGGGCCTCTTTTAACTTAATTAAGCATAGCAAATTAAAATGTATGAACAATTTGATGATTATTATTACATTGAGGAGATGATAAAATACAATAGATGTATATATGTATAGAACAGAACAGCTATATAGAACAAATATGTCATCAAGTCATATCATAACTGCATCCAGTTATCTATTTGATGGTTTAACTCATATCCTTATTTATTAATTTATTCTGTTTAGACACAAGGATCTTTTGTGCTTTTAATTCAGATTTCATATGGTTTTTAGCTCACCTGGCACAAAGTGCCAAGTGAACTTATGCCATAGCGCGGCGTCCGTCGTCAATATTTTACTTTAAACATCTTCTTCTCTATAACCAAACTGTCCAGGGTGATGATATTTGGCCAGTAGCATGCTGGGATGAAGGGCTATAATGTTTGTTCAAATGAATGACCTTCATCTTATTTCAAGGTCACAGGGTCAAATATGTTCTAAACAGTTAAACAACTTCTTCTGAATAACCAATAGGCCTAGGATAATGCCAGTAACATGCTGGGACGAAGGACTACCAAGTTCAAATGAATTAACTTGACAGGGGTCGCAAATATGTTTAAAACCATTGAATGACTTCTTCTTAATAAGCAAAAGGCCAAGGGTGATGATATTTGGCCATTACCAAGTTAATGACCTTCACCCATATTCAAGGTCACAGTGGTCAATATATGTTTAAATCTTTAAATGACTTGTTTTGTATAACCAATAGGTCCAGGCTACCGTGATATTTTGCCAGAAGCATGCTGGGTTGGAAGACTTTTTAAACTCTGTTTAACCTAATGTCCTTGTTCGACATTCAAGGTGACAGGCATCATATGTTTGAATCTTTTAATAGGTTCCTATGAATCAAACACTGATATTCTGTCTGTAGCTGTATTTTAGTCCTCTTTTAAGATTACAAGTGTGAGATTAATACCAGGTGAGAGATTCAGGCCCATTGGACCTCTTGTTTCTTATAAAATGATGCACAGCATTCTTTAGGCCTTGGTATGTCAAAAAATAAGTATTTATGTTATGTTTTTACTGAAATTCTTCAAAAAGGTTGAGTGATCCATCCTGTTTGATAATGTTATATACAAATTGTACTCCCTTTTTAAACCATGAATTTTTGAATGTAAATTTTCTGTCAATTTTAATTTCACTATTGAACCACAGAGGGTTTTCACGTTTATTGGTATTGTATATATTGCTAGAGATAATAGTATTGTACCATGCTTCTTATTATAAGACATCTTTCCAAAAGATGTTACTACAATGTTTAGATTCTTCTTTCAATTTTTCAAGTCCACAGTTAGCTAATGTTTCTTTATCAAAATAAGTTTCTAAAATATGAGCCCAATTTCCTTCATCTTTATGTACCCGTCTTATCCATGTTGCTTTCTTAACAATATCTTGGTTGTTGTTAAAAATGTTAAATGTGAGGTTTAAAATTTGATCTTGTGTTGTTGTTTTTTTTTTGGTTTTTTTTTTCAAAACACATACTCAATACATTTTGTATAAAAACCTGTATTTGTATCTGTTACAGCGACTGTATACGGAGATGGTGTTTACTTTGCTGTCAATTCCTCCTATTCTGCCACCACCACATACTCTCGTCCAGACCCAAGTGGTCACCAAAGGATGTACCAATCCAAGGTACTAACTGGAGAGTTCATACAAGGTTCACAAGGAATGCGAGTGCCACCAGTCAAGGGTTCAGGAGGGTCACATATTCTGTATGACTCTGCTGTAGATAGACCTGGCAACCCGGGCATGTTCATCATATTCAATGATACCCAAGCATATCCCGAGTATTTGATCACATTTCAGTGAAAAAAATATGTAACATATTTATAGGCCTATTGTACTGTTGACCAAAATTTTCGCCTTTTTTGCCCTTCGTAATGAAGGCCAATTCATCATTACAGTGAACATTTGTAAACAGCATCAAATGTGGACGGCAAAATTGGCAAAAAATGATTTTACGATCAAAGGGCAAAAACTTTTGAGATTCACACTTCTGCTTTTAACAGTTGAATGAACGGATCCTTGTACAGGAAGGACTATAAATCATATACGGATCGAATCTGGAATCAGGAAACAGGAACACATTTACTTGCACACCACATGAGCGGCCATAGCGAAGCGATTCAATTGCTTATTGAAAAATGGAGATTTGTAAAATTTTAAAAGTAGCCCTATGGAAAAAACAGTCATTTCTACTAATATTAACAGCTGTGATTTGGGTCACATGTGCTACTATTAACCAATCACAGAACCTGTAATAAAAGCACAAAAACAAATTTTGAATTATAAAACTGGCATTTAAACCATATTATGTTTAACAACTCATGGCGTTCATTTCATGATAAAACCTAACCTTGAATTTCCTGGAATATGTTTTATTTACCTACATAAATAAAATAGGACATGAGAAAAAAAATCAGGTTACACAGTCATGTTACAAAAATAAATTCAAGATTTTATTATTACAACTTTCTTTCTGTTTTATAACCACATGTGTTTTTATGAAATCTGCCCATCATTTTGAACTACAATTACTCTGTTCAAAGTTTCCAAAATATATAGCGCTCAATAAGAGGTTACATTATGGTTTAATGTATAATATTAACAACACATTCTGATTATATTGCTTATAGGGTAGGAATACAATTTGCTAGCCCTGGAATGGTTCTATACACAGATTAAATTGAATGATGAAGATTAATTTCAAAGTTACATGTACATTATATTTGATAGCACAAACAAAATGACAATTTCTGTACACTAATTATAGCCTTCAATTTACTGTTTCCTTTATTTCATTTGTCACACCGTGATGAAGAAAAGAACAATTATTGATTTGTATACCAATTCATTTTTAAGAAAAATAGATATTAAGCATCATATGATAATAAGACTTAAATTGTATTTTTAGCCATGAGTAGTAGAATGGGTGTTACACATATACATGCTAACAATCTTCAAGACTATTTTGTACGAGACCATGCTCAAGCATGAATTCTGTGCTCAAACCAACTTTCTTGTAAACCTTAAATCCTGTCATACTGTCAAAAAGTCAAGTGAAAAAATTGGAAGTCAAGTGGGTATTCTGCATAAAGTCTCCCCAAAATTCTTCCATAGTGTGAATATTTGTATTAAGTTAAAACTAGAGCAGGGAAATTATAAGCCCTGAGCACAGAATTTAAGTTAAATCATGAAAACTGTGAGGGCCAAATGAATGGCTGTTCAAATCACTGTTTGTCTCTGGACCATGTTTTTTCTCCATTGTCTTTAATCTATACTTGTACTGGATTAATAAAATGTACTTCTCAGATTTTATTTGGAGGTTCTCACCGGCCTTACCTTGCATAATAGATGATTACTAAATATGTCTGCCAGGCAGCCGTCTTGGATTTTGCAAGTTTAGATATGTTATTGCAGTTACTCAATTTAAAAAGTACTATAGGGATCTTTATCAAAGTTCATAAGTAGGTTTCAGCTGTTTTCAATTAAATAGTCAAGGCAAAATGGAAGTCAGCAAAACAGTGTGATCAAACCTGCATGTATTGTCATTCAGTATAATGACTTATGAACATATTTCTAAATAAATCGCCTCATATATAGTTTGTGTTAGTTATGTATTTTGTTTTAATAACCATCTAAGTAAATGGTAAAAAAAAATGGTGTAGGACACTTTTGATAAGTTTGTTTAGGTTTGCCTAGTGATGTTATATATATCAAAGATTTCAAAAAGTGGTTTACTGACAAATAATAATACGGTACATTCTACAAGTTGATTGTGATATTATGGATGCTTTCATGTGTTTTTGACATCTGATGAAAATGTGACAAGAACAAGGCATGTTTTTATAGATCACTGATAATTACTTCCTTTTTAGGTCACCTGAGCTTTGCTCAAGTGACCTATTCCAATCGCTTTTCGTCCGTCGTCGTCCGTCGTCCGTCGTCCGTCGTGCGTCGTGCGTAAACTTTTACATTTTCAACTTCTTCTCAAGAACCAGTGGATGGATTTTTTTCAAACTTGGTCAGAATCATCCTTGGTAGATGAGGCTTCAAAATTGTAAAATTGGGATTCCTACCCCAACCCCTGGGGCCAGGGCGGGGCCCCAAAGGGAAAATTATCCAATATTTCAAAAATCTTCTTCTCCAGACTCAGAGGTACTACAGTGATTTTCTCTACGTGGAAAGAAAGATCATCAGGGGCTTTACTTAAATTGTAAATTTCAGGACCCCCGAGCTATCCGTTCTCCCTTGGGGAGGGGGTAAAGTTTACTATAGTTTATATAGGGAAATAACACTTTTGGGTATATTTTGACAACTTTCTGTAGGAAATTATTTTTACTTGGTGAGAATTATCCTTGGAGGTAGATGGTTTCAAATTGTAAAATTGAGATTCCTACCCCGACCCCTGGGGCCAGGGCGGGGCCCCAAAGGGAAAATTAATCAATATTTCAAAAATCTTCTTCTCCAGACTCAGAGGTACTACAGTGATTTTCTCTACGTGGAAAGAAAGATCATCAGGGGCTTTACTTAAATTGTAAATTTCAGGACCCCCGAGCTATCCGTTCTCCCTTGGGGAGGGGGTAAAGTTTACTATAGTTTATATAGGGAAATAACACTTTTGGGTATATTTTGACAACTTTCTGTAGGAAATTATTTTTACTTGGTGAGAATTATCCTTGGAGGTAGATGGTTTCAAATTGTAAAATTGAGATTCCTACCCCGACCCCTGGGGCCAGGGCGGGGCCCCAAAGGGAAAATTAATCAATATTTCAAAAATCTTCTTCTCCAGACTCAGAGGTACTACAGTGATTTTCTCTACGTGGAAAGAAAGATCATCAGGGGCTTTACTTAAATTGTAAATTTCAGGACCCCCGAGCTATCCGTTCTCCCTTGGGGAGGGGGTAAAGTTTACTATAGTTTATATAGGGAAATAACACTTTTGGGTATATTTTGACAACTTTCTGTAGGAAATTATTTTTACTTGGTGAGAATTATCCTTGGAGGTAGATGGTTTCAAATTGTAAAATTGAGATTCCTACCCCGACCCCTGGGGCCAGGGCGGGGCCCCAAAGGGAAAATTAATCAATATTTCAAAAATCTTCTTCTCCAGACTCAGAGGTACTACAGTGATTTTCTTTACGTGGAAAGAAAGATCATCAGGGGCTTTATTTAAATTGAAAATATCAGGACCCCGAGCTATCCGTTCTCCCTTGGGGAGGGGTTAACGTTTAATATAGTTTATATAGGGAAATAACACTTTTCGGTATATATTTTATCCATTTTCAGCAGAAAATTGCTCAAACTTAGTCAGAATCATCTTGGGTAAATGAGAGTTTTACTTTGTAAAATTAGGATTCCTGCCCCATCCCCAGGGGCTAGGGCGGGGCCCCAAAGGGAACATTTACCAATATTTTCAAATTCTTATCCATTGATGACATGACAAGTATTGTATTTCACTTAGTTTACATGCTGATTTCCACATCACATCTAAACAATAAAATAAAGCTACCAGTACCTATGATATAACTCAGGTGACCGCTAAGGCCCTTGGGCCTCTTGTTATGAGATGTGATCAACAGACATTTCAGTGGTAATTAATTGAATGTCATTTAATTATTTTGTACTCATATTGTTTTTTTCCTATATTTTTGCTTGATCATACTAATATATAATGTGCTGCTCATGGAAAAACATATTATGCTGTATAACTACTAATATTCATAACTTCATATAACAACAAGTAAATTCTTGTATGAGATTTGTTAATAATTTAATCTTGCTTGTAACAAGCATTTTCATTGGCTTAAAAATTTATGTTATCAGCCAATAACGTAAAAAAAAATGATGTAACATCGCTTTTGATTGGCTGATACAGCAGCGCAATAATTTCTAAAAGAAAAAAGTCCATCAATAAAAGTGGATTTCCACAGGGATTGTGTATAGTAGATTAAATTATTAGGATTAACTTGAATATATTTTTCATGTTATGGAGCTATAACACACAAAAACGGAGTGTACTCTCTCATCATAAACCGCTTTGCAGTTTATTTAGAGTACACTCCGTTTTTTGTGTTATATCTCCATTGCATGAAAAAATGTATTCAAGTTAATCCTTAAATAATGTTTGAAATAAAAATGTTGCATCATTTTGATACATTAATCTTGCAACAACTGATTTATATGTAGTGAAGTAATGTGCTAAATATAGAACTACATTCCGCTGTTATTTTGAGTACTAGAAGCATGCAAGTGTCTTTCGATTGGCTGTTTGTTGAGATGATTTATCTAAAAAAAAAAATCAGTGACGTTTTATTAATGTGTTTTATATTTCAATCAAAACCATAGTTGTGTACACCGTGCTGCTATATATCCTTTGGACATTTAAATCATTGTCACATGATATCATCTTCAGGTGGTCGGGTGGTGCAGTGGATAGCACACTTGCATTTCACCAAGGCGACCGGGGTTCGATTCCCCGATCGGACGTGAAAAGGTTGGGGTCACCTGCCCGATCACGTTGGTTTTCTTGGGGTCCTCCGGTTTCCTCCCACACTAAGACCCCCCACGCGCTAACATCCGGGCCAACAAGAGTGATTAATATAAGTTGAAAATAACTTGTTTCATAATTGTTGTAAAATGAATAAAATTTATATAATATATATTATCTTATACTTATTCGATTGATAAGGGATTGTGATATGTCCTTTAATTTTTATATAAATTATGTACATGTTAATCCCTTCAAGTCATTTTCAAAACATGTTATTATCAAACATTGTTACTTTTTGTGAATTGTTGTGTTATTTTTTTTTATGTCTTCTTGATTAACGAAAAATAATCAGCTTTAGGTGGGTATTCAATGCTAGATTATAAAGTTTTCTTTCTCTCTCTCTCGCTCTCTCTCTCTCTCTATATATATATATACATATTATAAAAGCAGGAAAATGATCCTTACGGACTTATATAGTTTCCTTACGCTGTTTGTTACAAAAAAAGTATAGGAAAATGTGATTAAAATACATGTTTCATCTGTCCGTATATAAAAGCAAACGGGTAACTGTCCGTACATAAAAGCAAACGGGTAAGTGATTGGTTATTTCTTTTAGGTAATAAGTACCAATAGAAAATCGTTCAAGTTGCTAATACTGCTGGTTTAGATTTTTATGCTGATTCGGTAAAAGCTCAAAACATCATGGTCCTTGTAATTCTGGGTTGTGAATACACATTAGATGTCTTGTAATTCATTCATTGTACCTTTTGAGCCTTCAAATGTGGGTGCAATGTAGCTGAACCCCTCTTTGTCGGTCTTTCAGTAGGGTAGGGGGATCTATAGTGTTTTAAATTGTGTTAACCACTTTATAGGAACTCAATAAGGGGCCAAAAAGTGAATGTCATTAATTGACAATCTACATTTTCGTCTTTTAAAGAACTATACTGAACCGATTCCACTGATGATAATCAAGGGGTTTCCAAGCTTTTTTAGATTTAAGGTGTTTTATAAGGGGCACAAACTCCCTGGAGAGAAAGAAGCAGGATCAAAGAAGGAAATCATGACAAACCTTTATCTTTTTCATTTGTTCCAAGGATGCTTCAATGCCAATCTGTGACACATATTCTTGACGACTTATTCAGAATTACTGCACATATTTCAGTTAAAGGTTTTTAGTAAACTTTATCTATCAGCATGAAGTTGTTAACAAGTTTGAAATTATTCATTGTTTTTTACCTTCAAACTTTCCTTTAAAAGAAAAACAAAAATAATCTCTGGACAGCTTACTACTAGAACAATTGCATCGAAACATATGGCCATAACCTTGCGTACAGTAATTTTGTACCTGCAAAGTAAAATTATTTTCATTTTGACGATTTTTAGCTGGATACATGTAAACGTTATTGGGTTATAAGTGTGTTTGTGGCTTATCCATTTTTTTACATGTTTTTATTGTATAAGTAATTTAAACAATATCATTGTTATCATATCCCCACATAACAATTGTCTAGTGTGTAAAATGTATACCAAATGGGGTTGACAGATCAGAACAGTATTGACTAATTATAAATACGCATTAATTAGTGAATCAAGATGAACTACATGTGTGTACTTCGTCTAGAATGCTCATGCTTTAATTATGATTTAGTAATAAATTCACGTGCCATTATTTGTGAATTGCTTTGTGTTGATTGTTTACCTCGTCCAAAAAACGACACGTTTGTCGAATGATGCAGTGTCCTCTGAAAGAAGTACATGTACAAGTAAGTACCTACATGTATTAAAGAAATCAGTTTCTCGCTGCAAAACGCCAAACAAAGTTAACATATTACTGCAACATACGACACTTTTAGTTCTTTTAGGACTTGTCAGTAGCACCAAAGGTCAAACGCATGAAAATATAAAGAAATTCAGCGAAATGGGAAAACAACTCGCCGCGACCAAAGGTGCTATTCCGGTGGCGGCAACATTTAGTTTTTGCGTTTAAGTTAGTTTCACTGAAAGTATAAGTGCTAGACCTGCCAAACTTGGACCATAGATGCATCACGGGTAGTACATCTCAACCCATGCATCAAATGCTGGATGCGGCCACCTTTCATGGTCCATTGACGTTGTCAGCATCTCCATCAACATTAAGTTTATGTGCATTGATGGTCAAATGGGGCACAGGTGGGACATATCAATCCAATTTGGCTTGTTTATCTTTTACAGACTAATTTCTTCAATTTGTCTTTTTTTTGTCTACCTCCTGTCAAGGGCTTAAAATTTTGTCTCCGACAAATACCTGTGAAAATTATACTTAATTTCCTCTTTCGGTTATTTGTTGATCTTGCTTTTTGATGCAGTTAAATTTATTAGCCCACCATCATCTGATGGTG